AGGTGCCAGATTGGGATAATGAATTGATCTATAGATTTGATTGACACCTAGCACCTAGATATTGACAGAAAAACCTGAGAAGTCAACTCTTAGTTCTCTGGTGAGAAGAAGCCCAGCAGAATTACTGAGCATCCCAAGGAAGCCCTCCCCTGCCCGAGTCTCTGCTGGGGGCGGGCGGGCAGGCGGCTGGGAGACCCCTGTGCCACCAGGCCCGGGTCGGGTCTAGCCCCCTCTGCCTGCCCGCAGCGTGAAGCACATCTCCTGCTCCCTGCTCATCCTGCACGCCGAGGACGACCCAGTCGTGCCCTTCCGGCTCGGCAGGAAGGTGGGTGCGGGGTGGTGCCTGGGCGGGTGGGTGCCTCACAGGCTCATACTATGGGGGATCCTACTAGTAGTGGGGGCCCCTTTGTGGAGAAGGTGGGAAGGTCAGTGGCTCCCAGGTCCCCATGCAGGCAGGGGTGCCGGCCTGGCAGGCTGACTGCAGGGCACTTGGCCGGGGACCTCGCCAGTCCCTGGCTGGGGGAGGACCCCCGACAAGGACCCCCAGGTGCAGGGGCGCTGTCCACAGACTTGCCCCAGAGGCTCATGTGCTGTGTTGCCTTTGGGGTGAACAGGCAGCAGACACTGTTGCTGGGCCTCCTGTCTGCTTTTGCTGGATTTGCTGCCAGGAAGCAGGGCTGGGTGTGCGGGTGAGGGTGGCTGGGAGAGCGCCTGGGCACGTCTGCCTCTGAGTAGGCCTCGTTTGCGTGGGCTCTGCCAGGGCCGGGGCCTGGGCACACAGAGCTGCCCGGCAGTGTACTGCTCAGACCTGCACGGCCTGGCCCCCCCAGGGTGGGAGAGGCCGAGGTGGGTCAGGGATGGTGGGTTTGTTGACTGGCGTTGACCCAGGCAAATGGTCCATCCCCACCTGGGCTGAGCCATCAGGGCCTCTGTGGCCCTCAGGCCACCACGCCCTCCCACGGCAGGTGGCCTTGCTTTTGGTGCTGGCTCATCCACCTTGCTGCCCGGAGGAAAACACAGAGGGTCTCGAATGGCAGGCCACGGGGCCGAGCCTGAGCGGGCTCCTGTCAGCAGGCCGCAGGGCAGAAGTGCACAGCTCAGGACTGGGGCCCCTCTCCAGAGGCAGCAGCCACTGCACATCTCTGTTGAAGGGGAGCTGGGAGGCAGGTCGCCCACAGCCCTGGGGGTGCTGCCTCTGGGCACTGACCCGTCTCTCCCTCTTCCCAGCTCTATAACATCGCTGCGCCATCTCGAAGCTTCCGAGACTTCAAAGTCCAGTTTATCCCCTTTCACTCAGACCTCGGCTACAGGCACAAGTACATCTACAAGAGCCCCGAGCTACCACGGATACTGAGGTGAGGCCCTCTCTTCTCCCCAGGTGTAACCTGGCCAGGGATGTGGCAGGTGCCACCACTGAAGCACCTCCATGGGGCCAAGGGTCATGCGATTTAAGAGCCTGTTTCCTGGAGGGGCTGAGCATGTTTCCCCTCCCTCCTGACCATTCCTGTGACCAGACAGGGCAGCGATCTCCCTGTGGTACACAGGGCCGCACCCACACGTGCCCCCGCTGCAGGTCAAGCCTCTGTCCTTTCCACAACTGTCAGGCTGTCCCTGTGCACATGGCCCATGGGGGACTCTGTCCTGAGCCAGCCCCCCTAAAGCCTGTTTGTCGCCAGCTGCCTCTTGCAGGGAAGCTCTGGCCCTGGCTGCGCCGTGCTGGCTCTAGTCCCGGACTGAGATGCGGCTGCAGCCACGGGTGCGCCCTGGGCCAGCGTCATGGTCCGAGCATGAGGGGTAAGAGGTGGCCAAGTGCAGAGCTCGGGCTGGACCAGGCCTGCCCCAGTGTAGTGCTGGGCCGATGCCGTCACTCTGGCCTCCCTCCTGCCCTCTAAGGGGCAGACAGCCCACGCCCCCTGGCTGTGAGGCCTTCCAGGAGGTATGAGGGGCTATCCTAGGCGGCAGAGCCTCGGGTGCTGGAATCCACCCTCGGGGAGTTCCGTCTGGCTGTGATTCTGCCTCACACCTCAGCCCTCCTCTGGCCACCTTGCAAGTTCCAGGCGCACGGCTGGTCACACAGACTCGGGTGCTGGGCGGGGACTGTGAGCTATGAGCACGGGCTTGCTCTGGGTTGAGTTTTCCCTGCGATGGAAGGAGTGGGTGTGTTGCGGGTGGCTCAGACCGGAGAGCAGCCCCGAGGCTGGAAGAACAGTCCCTGCGGCCTTGCCTTTCTGCCTGCGAGTTGGCATTTGGCAGGCAGGGCCTCGTGCCCCGCCTGCTCCTGAGGGTTTCTGAGCAGGAGTTTGGTCCTGCAGGCGCCTCCTGGGCCTCCTCGGACAGGCCAGCTGAGGACCATGGGAGGCAGATCTCTGGGCTGGCCGTCTGGCTGATGGCCGTCCTACCCTGGTCTAGGGAGTTCCTGGGGAAGTCAGAACCCGAGCACCAGCACTGAGCCTCGCGGCCTGAAGGCACACGAGGACCCCCGCCCTCCGCCCCTTCCCTCTGCGAGCCCAGCGCCCTGGAGCCCAGGGGAGCCCTGGGGAGAGGACTCGGACGCCAGCCGGGTGAGACGCAGGAGGCCCAGCAGCCCTGGTGCGCGGAGGCACACGGCCCTCTCCCCCTCGGGCTGCCACTCAGCCCACACTCTTGGAGGACAGTGAGACGGGGCCAGCGGCCAGCTGCTCGGTCCCACGCTGCCGAGCTGAGCCTGCGGGCGCCAGGGCAGGAGGCATGGGGTCTGGGGACCACACTGAACTTCCTGGCACCAGCTGCGGGCTGTGAGGAGACTTGGGCCTCTCTGCCCCTTCCCGGCCCGTGCTGAGTGGGCTGGTGGTTCCGTCGCCCCTCCACGCTGCGAACCCCGCTTGCCCACTCTGCTGCCCATCCCTGCGCGGCCCACCGCTTACAGCCGGGGAGGTGCCTGCACTTCCTCCCTCCAGCCCACCCTGCCTGGCCTCAGACGGAGCGTTTATTTAAGAATAAAGCTGTGGTGGTGGTCTGCTGTTGCCTGGGTGATGCTCAGCCCCTGGCCACTCTCAGCCTGGTGGGGGCGGGAGGGGGTTCCGTGGTCCGGGCCTTTTCTTCCTCCTTCCCTCCTGACGTCGAGGGCCGGGCAGGAAGGGGTGTGTCTCCCAGGGAAGGCTCGCTCAGTGGGAAGCTTCCCTGGCCAGGATGGACGGATGCAGGCTCCTGAAAGCAGGCCTGCTGGTTGGCCTTTCCAGCCTCCCACCTAGCAAGCCCCTGGAGGCTGCTGTGCCGACCGGCTGCCGCTGGGTCCATGACCTGCAGACCTGTGGCATGTGCCCGACTCTCAAAAACTAGGGGTTCCCGATTTAAGAAGAGGGTTTAGAGCTGCCCCAGGGCTTTCCCACCTCTGTTGTGCAGGTACAAGGGTGTGTCCGGATCAGGGTGCTTCGCCAGCCATGGCCAGCCTCTCCTGACGTCTGGCCTTCGGGCCCTGGGCCCTCAGGCTCTGGAACTTCCTGGTCTCAGCACCTGGTCAGTGCCCCAGGGAGAGGGAAGGCCTTGTTCACCTGCCTGCCCACCCTCCCAGGCCTTACGGCCAGTTTTAGTAGCCACAGGCCGGCCGGGGCCAGCGGCCAGTGCAGGCGCGCTTCCGAGGCCCCCAGAGCTGCCCGTGGTGACTCGTATCCGGGAAATGGCACGCGAACACTCTCCTCCCGAGGTGGGTTTATGTCGGCACATTTATCTTCTGCTGGACGGATGCCCCTGCTCCCGAGTCCTGGCGCCAACTCGGGTGAGCACAGCCCGCGAGATGCCGCCGCCCGGGCTGCGCGTCCCATTGGCGCCGGGTCACCTCTCCTCCGTAACGTGTCTTTCTGTGTGACTGCTCTGCCATGGAGCCCCTGGGGTCCCCCAAACACTGGGCAGCCCCTTCACGGGCACGATGAGCTCTCTGGGCTTGTCCCCAATACTCCCAGCCCGGAGTCGCGCACCACTCATCCACCCCAGACCAGCCGCTTTCCAGGCCTAGTCTGAACTTTTTCCCATGTGAGCTGCCTCGGGTCCTTTCTTTGAGGGATGAGGTAAGACGTGAAGAAGTAAAGATACAAGCTGTGGTGTCTTCAAGGGCCTGAGCGCCGCCTGAAGATAGAGGCTCACGTAGGCTGGGCCATTTCAGCCAAGCAGGCCCGGACCCCCCGCCTGGCAGCTTCCTGGTTTACTGCCTTTGTCCAAGCGACTAGACCTAAACGGTGCCTGACTCTCCGCTGGGTCACCAGACCACGCTGCGCTCAGGCCCAGTCCTAAAGGGAACAGCCGGAGGTGGCGCAGCTAGGAGCTGCAGGAAGGGGCACGTCCACTCCCTGCGCACAGCCCAGAGGCCACCGCCCCGGCGGGCGTGTGCCATTCCCAGGTCCTCTGGGTAAGGGGACCACCAGCTCACACCCTTCTGGTCCCCATCCTACCTGCAGCTATAGGGTGTAAGGGGCAGTGTTCTGGCCCCAGGACAGGGGCAGATGGCCCGAGACGGGGCACAAAGGAGCCAGTGCTACTCATGCCCGAATTCTGACACCCGGGGGGCCTTTCACCACGTGGCAGGGTTGATGGTGGTTCTTTGAAGAGCTGGCGGCTCAGGCACGGCACCCATCCTGAGGGGCAGGGGGCGTGGCATGCGGGTACAGCCCTGGCGGCAGCCTGGTCCTGAGGGGCAGGGCCCGGTGCTGCCCAGGCCCACGCAGAGGGGCAAAGCCTCTGGCAGGGGCTTCTGCCTGTGTCTCCAACAGCCCCCAGGGAGGGGGCCGGCCTGCTCCCTGGCTCACCCTCCCTTCCCACCCACTGTCCAGGCCGAGGGGAAGGGGGCTGTTCTGGCCCACTGTGTCGTCCTTTGGACCAGGTGGTTGCACCAGGGGATGAGGGAGGCCCTCTGGGGCACAGCAGGGGCCCACGCAGGGCCCAGGCCTGGGCACTCGGCCTCACCCAGCAGAGTCAGTGTCCCTGACACCCCAGGGCCGCCTCTAGCACACAAAGTTCAGCCAGTTCCATTTCCTTGTGAAGTTACTTTTCTTTTTAAGCAGCAGAACCAAGCCCACAGTGCATCACCGGCCTTGCCCTACCCAAGGCGCCCTCCCGCGCTTTCATCCGCCCAGTGCGGGACCATGTGGCAGCTGTGAAGACCCGGCCTGGGGCCCAGCTGGACTGCAGAGGACCAGGCCCACTCCAACCGGCCACTGCAGACCCAGAAGCTCAGACTAAAAGCTTGCAGCAAGGCACGTGCGAGGCCTCTGAGCCCCCGGCGGCACCCCCTCCTCAGGGTCGGGGCTGAGGCTGGGCAGCCGGGGCCGGGAGCTCTGCTTTCATGCAGGAAGTGGGAGCAGCTCGTTCTCAGCACGCCCTTCCTCACCCCCGAAAGCCACAGTGCCCTCTGAGCCCTCCTGGGAACGGCCGGGTGGCGCCTGGGCACCTAGTCCCTGGGCAGGTTGGGGGGCGGGATCTGCAGGTCCGAGGGCTCCACGCCCCAGATGTCGCGGGCGTACTCCGTGATGGTGCGGTCACTGGAGAACTTGCCCGCGCAGGCAATGTTCCTGATGACCTTCTTGGTCCACTCCTTGGGATCCTGCAGGGGAGCAGAGGTGGCTCAGGCCCCACGAGCAGCCCTGCGGGAGCCTGCCTGAGGGACGTAACAGCTCACGGAGAAGGCAGCCCCGTGGGCCAGAAAAGGCACCAAACGACCAGTGAAGGACCAGGAGCCTGAGACCCCAGCCCCAAACTGCTGTGCTCCACAAGGGGCCACCAGGCACCCTGGTGGGTCTTCGCCACGAGGACCCGGGGAACTGGCGTCCTCTCCTTCCACCCAATGCAACCAGCCCCGGGAGGGGCCTCCCCAAAGGCAGGCTCTCCTGAGGCAGCGGGAGGCGAAGTCCCCTCCCACAGCCCTGCCAGCCACTCAGCTTTCTGGGCTGTTTCCTGGGCCCAGGCAGGGGTGGCAGTGCCTGCTGGGGTGGTGGGGGCCGAGATAGGCGAGAAATCAGAAGCACAGACCCCTCAGGCCTCGTCTAAGAGCTACTAAAATGGCCTGGGGACATGGCCCCTCTGTCCTGACACCTCCACAGTCACCGGTTCCTCTCCCAATGCCATCCTTGGGGGGCACAAAGGCTTGGGCGCACCTGGAAAATCCCAGGGAAGGGAATGGAGGCCGGCACCAAGGGACGCCTTCCCCCTCCCCAAGCTCAGGCCCCAGGTCTTCCCACAAGAGTGCGTGTGGACATGCCCAGGCCACCCCAGGGCAGGGTCAGCAGGCCCACAGGCCCCACACCCAAGATGCAGGGGTCAGCTCAGAGCCCCCAGCCCCCTTCTCCGGGCCACCGGGTGGACTGTGACCTCCAAGGAGGGCCCAGAACAGCAGGACCACCCTCACCAGCTCTTACCCGGTACAGCTGGTCCACCCGGGCCTGGCAGGCCACGTACGCTTCATAATCCGCAAACACCTTGAACCTGGAACGGGAGATGGGCAGCCAGCGGGGGGTCAGGACATTGGGCCCTGGGCATCCATGTCTTCACGTTCTGGGGGTTAGAGCCACACGGCCACACGACTGCTCTGCCTGTGTCCTGGGGACACAGTTCTGGAAAAACCTCACTTTAACCCAACATCCCTTTAAAGACACTGGCGTGCTGAAGCCCCCTCCCCAGAGAAGGGCACACGGTGGTGACAAGCAGCCATGCAGCTGTTCTCAGGCTGACCCAGGCCGAGGACTAGTGATTAGGAGAAGGGTGGTCTGCCCACCTCCTGGATCGCAGACCTTGGCAGGGCTGAGCTTCCTGGAAAATTCTGGGGCAGCCTCGCCACTGCCTTCCCCTGAGGGAGGAGAGGGCTCAGGAATCTCCTCCTACCAGCCGTGAGACCCCTTGCTCACTTCCACCCAGGCCGGCCAGTGCGGCTGGCAGGCCCCTCACCATGCCAGGCACGGCCAGGGACCACCACAAGCTCCAGGCACTAGGGTGGCTGAGCCTCCATGGTGGGCTGGGTGGGGAACCAGCCTCCAAAGGCCCCGGCTCTGCCCCAAGCAAGAGGCAGCTTTCAGCTCCAGGAGGCCTCGCCTGTCCTACCTGTCATGGTTCAGCAGCATGTCGACAACGCCCCTGAAGCAGTCTGGGTCCTTGGGGGAGAAGAAGCCGCTGCTGACCTGGTCCACGGCCTGCCTCAGCTCGGGCAGCCGGTCGTAGTACTCTTTGGCATTATACCTGTGGGGACGGGCCGCGCGTCAGCACCCCGCCTCCAGGCCGCACCCTGTGTTGGTGCCAGGTATACCCTTGGCCCAGGGTTGCCCCCGCCCCAGACCTGAGGCCCAGCCCCTTGGTCAGTCGCACCTCCCCCTTCCACGCGGCCACCAGGCGGCCTACAAGGGGTCCGAGAGAGGGCCGCTCAGGGGCTGTCATGCTGGGACCCCTGCCCTCCCCACAGCCCCTCCAACTGCAAAGGAGACAATGTGGGAAGCCAGGCAGGAGACACAACAGGCTTTGGCCGCCAGGGAGACCAGGGAGGGGGAGGCACGTGGGGACGTGTGTGTCCGGGGCAGAGGCGCCAGGGTGCAGGAGGGCGCGTGGAGGGCACGCAGAGGGGGCTTCTGCACTGACTCTTCAGGCGACGATGGGGTTTCCCCTGGCCGCTGCCCCCAAGAGTTCATGGCAATGAGGTGACACGGTTTTCTCCCCTTATCACTCAGAATTAGGCAAGGGCCAGACTCCCCAAGAGTCCTCACGGTCGTCGAAATGGGGAAAGGCTGAGGATCCGCCACAGCCGTGGAGACGGGAGCCCCGACCTCTACGTGGTCTGAGTCTGGGACCAGCCCTGGGGGCAAGGGGCGTCTGTGCAGGGCAGTGATGTGCAGATGCCAACGAGTGGGGGTGCCCACTCCGGGTCAGGGAGCGCTCAGAGCAGGCCTCGGGCATCAGGTCTGAGCAGGGAGGGGACCTGCCAGTGGGACCCTCGGGACTCTGTCCTGTCTTGGCAGCCTTCCTGTGAACCTCAGACTCTTCCAAGACAAAAGGGCTGGTTTACAAAGGCAGGAATCCTGGCAGTGGGCTGCCACCCATCCCCAGACATGCCCTGTGCCTGAGGGCCCCCAAGACCCGGCCTCCTACCCTTTTGAAACAGTCTGGACCCCTGGGCTGGGCCAAGCCGACGAGGCATAGAGCAGCCGGCGCTCGCCTGGGCCAGCCTCTGGGGTAGTCGTGCTCAGACGGCAGCAGACTGGACGGGCATGCCTGCGGCTGCTCCCCACCCCCCAAAGAGTGGAGACTGCCCTGGTCCTCTGGACTGTGGCCGGAGTGCCGCTGTGCCCCTGGTGGCACGAGAGGAACACATACCCTTTCCGGTCGAGGGCCTCCACGTCCTCCACCTGCAGGCCGAAGATGAAGAGGTTCTCAGCCCCGGCCTCCTCTGCCATCTCCACGTTGGCCCCGTCCATGGTGCCGATGGTGAGGGCCCCATTGAGCATGAACTTCATGTTGCCTGTGCCCGAGGCCTCAGTGCCAGCGGTGGAGATCTGCTGCGACAGGTCTGCGGCGGGGATCACTGCCGAGGAGTTGAGGCACGTCAGCCACGGCCCCCCACGCTGGGCACCCCCCAGTGGTACGGCACCACCTCCGCCTGTGCTCCAATGAACCACGGCCCTCGGTACCCTGGGGCCAAGACTGGGCACTGCCAGGGCTCCACTTCTTGGTCCAGGGCAGCAGGGGGCACAGGGTCCAACATGGGCTGCCCCCAGGTGGCAAATGGCCTTTGTTCTGGAATCTTCCATTGCCCAGAGAAGCCCTGATCGTGGTCTGTTGGCATAATTCCCTTTCACCCCCAGATCACTTGTGTCTTTATCACCCCACAAGTCTCCTTAGGTCACTTCCAGAGGAATCTGGCGTTATAGAACCAGAGGACTAGATTGGCTGGGCAACCTCCCACTCACATGCGTGGGGTTTCTGCGTGCGGCGCCAGGCATCACCGGCCAGGACGGTGGCCCAAGCACCGCAGTGCCAAGGCCCCTGGTGTGGGCTCCCCAGGCCTCCAGACACAGCGGCATCAGTCCCACCCTGCCCAGCCCCCCCTGCTCCCACGTCCCCAGCTCATCCACAGAGCCAAAGCTCCACCCCGCTGGCGGGCACTGGGTCAGCACTGAGCACAGCTCTTCGGCGAGGTCAAGCCCAGGTGCCAGGATGGAGACACAGGCACCACCGGCCCCTAGGCAGCCTGATGGCAGAGGGGCACACCACGGGGACCCCGACACTAGCTCGGGGGACCAGACTGGGACCTAAGGATGCCTAGAAGCCAGCCAGCCCCAATTAATGGTGAGGAGTGGGGGAATTCCAGGCAGCAAGGGCCATAGGATGAGTTAGAAGCTGCCGCAGACCACATCCCAGCCCGATTCACACACAGGCCATGCAGGGCTCAAGGCAGATTCCGGGTGGGCCAGGAGGGCCCAGGGGAGGTGGCATGTTGGCTGCACAGCGCTGCGCGGGCAGAGCACACACAGCAGCAGCCTGACAGAACAGAGGCGCCGGAACCCCAGGCCCTGCCCACCCTCTGGCCAGCAAGGCCCTTCTTTCCAGGGTCTCTGGAAGCAGCCAGTTTGGAGAGGTCCCTGTGCTTGAGGCAGCCACGCCCCCAGGCAGCACCCCGTCTGGTGGTCTCCCGGCAACCCTGAAGTGGAGTGGCCCCAGACTGAGCTCCCAGCTGAGTGGGACCGGAGGGACGGACAGCAGAGGCCCTTGAGAGCACACAGGTGTGGGAGTGGAGCTTCCTCCTTGGGAGGAGGCTGACTCGGGGCACAGCCTGCCAGCAAGAGTGACCCCCAGGAGGCAGCGGTGAGGAAGTGGGAGGCCAGGGGCGTCTGAGGCTGGGAGTTCTCTGTGCTTGACCAGCAGAGCGCCTCCCTGAGGCCCCTCTGGCCGGGGAACCTGGTGTCAGGGCAGTTAATCAGCCCCAGCCAAGGGGGGCGGGGGCAGGGCCTGTCTAGCGGCCCCCGCGGGCTACCTTTCTCGGCCAGCGACACCCGGTAGTTCTCCAGGAAGATCACTTTGAGCCTGTCGCCCACAACTGGGTCGTGGTTGACGACGTCCCCGATGGATGTGACCAGCTTGATAATCATCTTGGCCATGTGGTAACCGGGGGCTGCCTGGAAAGGAGCGGGAGGGCCGAGCCGCACCTGGGTCCTGGGCACGCCTGGCAGGTGGCCCCACAGAGCCCACCCTTGCGGGGTGCAGCCCCTGGCTCTCCCTGGGCTCCCACCCTGCTCTCCACAGCGGCCACCTCACCCACAGGCAGCAATATGCCCGCCTCTGGCCTGTTTTCTGATTCTAGTCAGTTTTTCAGAAATGAAAAGATGGAAGAAACAGGATTTTAGAGCTGACCAGCAGCTCACAAGACATAAGGGGATGAGACACATGTCAGGACACCCAGGGGGGGCACGCGGCCAGAAGCACCAGCCTGGAGGTGCGCGAGCCAGTTCTGTGACAAGCTGTGGGGAAAGGAGGGCAGTCCACACGAGGGAACTGAGGGGCAGCAGGCAGGCCCCTGCCAGCGTCCCGACCCGGCTAGAGGCCCTGGCAGCCTCACTGTGGAGATGTGATGGCAGTGCGGACGTTCAGAAGAGCCCACATCTGCAGCAGTTTGGGAGGGAAACCACGAAAATGTGAGACATGATCAAGGGCAAAGCAGTGTCACGTCTGTTGTTTGCTTTGAAAAGATTCTGAAGTCTGGGGCAAGGCTGTCAATGTCCTGTAATTCCTCCTTTCTCCGACGCTTGATATTTTTAATAATTAACATTTCAATAATTATCAGTTTCAAAACTGTTTGAAACTCTCTGTGAAATGAGACCTTAGAGGAAGTACATTCCCAGGCAGTGAGCACCGGGAGGCTGACGGACAGCGGGCACTGGGGGGAGGGCAGAGGCTGCGCCGGGAGGTGCACTGCCCTCTGCTGCTGGGTGGCCAGGCGCCACCTGGACTTCTGTTCACTTTCGTATGTGCTGAGACAGGGAGACGACAGCACCTGGGTGCCCCCCAAAGCAGCTGAACCCAGAGTGTCCTCACACTGATGGCGCCCAGGCTCTTGAGAGGTGGCAGAGGGTGGGGACATGGCCCCAGAGCACAGAGTGCAATGATAGGACACGCCAGTGTGCAGTGCCATACTCTGGGGCCCCAGGGCGGCACATCCGAAGCTTGTGCCCCAGTAATGCTGTGAAACCAGGCCAGGCTGAGCCCAACGTGGGCACACACCTGGTTGATGCATCAGCTATCAACCTGTGTCCCCTCAGTGCACAGTGTGGGGAGTGAGTTGGGCAGCACGCCAGGGCCTGAGCGGCGGGCACAGGTGAGGAGCATGGAGCAGCCAGCAAGCTTCCAGGGGAACTGCCCAGGGTGGGGCCCCCTCGCCCACATGCTGGGCAGGCAGGGGTCCCTCCTACTGCTGAGATGGACAGTGGACTCACTCAACCCGCACACCTTGGGCCAGAGGCCATCTGCCGCACCGTGCGTGCCAGCTCCGAGCCACCCCAGCGTCCAGCGTGGGCAGTGGGCGCCCAGTCGGCCAGGCGGCCCCGCCTAGGAGCATGGTGGTTTGCACATTCTGGCCGAAGACCAAGCAAGAGCCAAAGGACATGACCTCACCTTGCCCCCAATCATGACGGTCCTGGGCACAAAGTCCTTGGCTGGGTCCTTCTTTATTCCTGCAGGACAAATCAGAGATTCGAGTGAGGTGAGCAGCGCGGGACACGCCCCTGCCCTGCGACACACTGTTGTGACCGTGTCCTCAGAAACCAACCCGGTCCCTGGGCCCCCACGTGCCCACCGGGGGCTCCCCCTTACAGAAGGGGAGCAAGGCCCCCGGTTCCGCACCGTGTCCCGGGTTGAGGAAAGCCCTCCAGCTCCGGGGCTCCCACGGGCTCACAGGAGAAGCCCAACCCGAGGGCCTGCTCTGGTCTCACTAGTCTTCAAGGCCCTTGCGTGACAGGCGCTTGAGAAAGAGATGGCCCTGGGATGGTGGTGGCGGCACGGCCAGCCCTCGAGACCCCAGGTCCCCTGCTTCCTCGCTGTGACTCGGGGGCGAGAGCCCCTCCCGAAGCCCCCGCAAACGGGGGGTGTCCCTGCTGGCCAATGGCTTTCAGCTGTGTGTGTGTCAGGGGGGTGGGGTGTCCACGCCGAGGGTGAGAGGCGGCCCTGAGGGCCTCCCCAGCGAGCCGGGACCGCCCGCGGCCGTAGGGAGCGGGGCTCATCCTGACAGCAGACTTGAGGTTCTAGGCGGGACTGCGCTGAACCTGATCCGAATCTTCCCGCCTTCAGAGATCAGACAAAACAACAAGGGGAACAGGCCAATAATAAACAAGCTACATTTTCACCAAAGCAGGAAAGAGAAACATGCAAACTCGAGATCACTGAGCAAGTTCTGCCCGGTCAGGGGCTGGGCGGGGGCCTGCGGCACGAGTGAGACACGTCTGGGGACCCAGCCTCCCCCAGGGGGGCTGTTAGGGTGCGTGTCCTCGGGGGACAGGAGGGCAGACCTCATCAGCCCGTCCTGCAGGGGAACCTGGGAGCCGGGGCCTGGGGGGCCTTTCAAACCAGCCCCACTGGGAGCCAGAGGAGGCAGGGGCCAGGGGAGGGGCCCCGGGGCGCCACAAAGCCCCCGCAGCGCGTCCAGGGCAGCGCAGCTCGGTCAGACGGGGCGCCCGCCACGCGCACGGCTGTGCAGCCAGCCCTGGACGGTCTCGGGCCTGTGATGGCTCTCAGCACGGAAAGGAGCCCCCAGAGCTGGAAGTAAGGCCCTGGGAAGAGGGGGCAGGCCAGCCACATGGCAGAGCCACGGCACACACAGGCTGCCCGACTGTGGGAGCCCAGAGGGCGAGGCGGGCGCGCAGGGCGGCCAGGAGAAGCAGGTCAGAAACACCCAGAGACCCTCCGACGAGGGGAAGGCAGAGCCCCAGAGGAGACCCAGAGCAATGGCACCGGACCAGCATTTCAGACACGTCTCCAGAAACCTTCCAAGAAATGATCCAAGTGCCAGCTGAGCTATTCCAGAGAGCACCCTGGGCACCAGGGAAAAAGGACCACAGCGTCGGTACAACCCGGCCCAGGAGAACGAGCACAGGCGGCAGACAGTTCACTCAGGAGCCCGGACGCACGGCGCCCGAGCCTCCGATGGGGCAGCGTGGGGCCCAGGAGATGCGCAGGAAAAAAACATGGCGAGAACATCGCCCTCCGACCAGCCTTTGTGCTGAAGGCGAGCCAGGACTCGGGATCCTGGGCAGGACGGCTGGACAGTGTGGCCCCATCCACCCCCAGGTGACTCCGAGCTGGGACAGGGCGGTGCGCTGGCGGCAGCGGGCGAGTGAGGCGCAGCCCAGGCACATGCTGGGCACACGCCGGCCACTGTCGGGACACCTGGACGCTCGGGGGCCTCCACACGCTGGCAGCCGGGCAGAAGTCGGGCGAGCGCCAGCTGCAGGAGGGGCTGCAGCTGGAGGAAGGGGGTGCTGAGCGGCTGCCCGGCTGCTCACGAATAGGACCAGTGTGGGGGCTCAGGGGCACCTCTGGGGGAAGAGGGCAGGACTCACGGTGCATCAGAGAAGCAGGCCGAGAAGCCAGAGGGAGGTCCCCACAAGCTGCCGCCCTGGCCCGGTGGCAATGGCAGCCCCGCGGCCCCGCCTGAAGGCCCGGGGTCGGGGAGGCAGCGCTCGGCCGGGGGTGCCTCCAGCCTGCACTGCTCAGCCGCCTCCCAAGTTAGCGCCCCTGGCCAGGCCTCTCCGGGGACAGACCCGGGAGGAGCTTCTCGGTTCTTCAGTTTTCAGAATCAATACTCCCTTCATTACAGAATTTTAAAAACTAAGTTTTTCCTTAAGGTTTTTTTTTATCATCTTTATAAAGCTGGCAAACATCATGTTTACTTTTAGGGGGTCTTTAACTTGTTTGCTTGCATAATTAAATGCCCTGAAATAACTTACGGGACCTGTATAAATTCAGCACATGCTTTAAGGGCCTGTGACAAGTGTCTCCTGTCGCTCGAGATGAGTCTGAAAGACTAACGTAGAATCCAGCCTTTGGGTCCCAGGCAGCGCTCCTACCCCACCGAGGCCGCCTGTTCACGGCTCGGCCACGGCCCAGGTCCTGCGGCCCTCGGACGCCTCTGTGCACCTGCCTCGTGCAGCTCAGGCCTGTCCCCAGCCACCCTGGGGCGCAGCTCCCGTCACCCCTTTGTAACTACCGACACTGAGCAGCCAGAAAGACACGGGGATGCTGCTTGACGTCAATGTGCAACGTCACACGCCCCGCCCCCCCCCCACCGGCCAGCCAGTCAGAGAAGGGCCTGGTCTAGGAGGGGCTGGTGAGCAGGAGGCCCTGCCGCGGGGCCGCGGGGGCGGGCGCGCGCACGCACGGTTGTACAGCGTGATGACGTGCAGGCAGTTGAGCAGCTGCCGCTTGTACTCGTGGATCCTCTTCACGTGCACGTCGAACATGGAGGCGGGGTTGATCTTCACCTTGTACTCCTTCTCCAGGAAGGCAGAGAACTTCAGCTTGTTTTCCTGGGGAGGAAAGAACAAGGATGGGTGGATGGCTCACGGGAATGAACCCCGTGAGCTCCCCGAGGTCACGGCACGCTCTAGCCTCCCGGGAGGGCTGCGAGTGCCTGTCCCCTGCCACCTCCGGGGTGGGCAGACGAGGTCAGGGCCGAGGGCGGAGGCCACACCAGGGGAGTGGGGTGGGTGGGCAGTGGACGCGCACCAGGAGCAGCAGGCGTGAGAAGCAGACCCGAGGGCACCTGGCCCACAGGAGGCGGGGCAGACGGGATATACGGAGGCCAGCGGTGCGGTGTAAGAGCCGGGCGGCTGTTTCTGGGCCTCCAAAACCTCGTGGCGCAGGGGGTGTGGGGGCCAGCATGCCCTCTCCCACAAGGTGGCACGCTTGGCCTGGAAGGCCTCTGTGGCCGGCCCTGCAGGGCACAGCTCCCAGGCCGCTGAGCAGCTACAGGGCACAGATGCTGAGTCTGAGCCCGTTACTGGGTGCTTCCCTCCAGACAAGCTTTCTGGGCAGAACCTGGGGTAAAGGGATGCCAGGGCCACTCTGGGGTCTGCGTGCATCCACCACGTGGCCTCCATGAAGCTGGGTGCGGCCCCCGGCTCGGAGCATGTGGGAGGGTGCCCCGTGCTGGGCGGGCCCGCACGGCTACCTGCTTGACCTTGGCTACGTCCCTGATGAGCGCCTCGTCGTGGACAAATGGCAGCAGACTCCTCAGCTGGCTCAGGTCAGTCAGGAAACCCTCCCCGATTTTCTGGGGAATTGTAGGGGGACACCAGGTTTCTTGCTGTGGACCCACCCTCCTCGGTCTGCTCCCTGCCTGGGGCTTGGCCCCGGGCCCACAACTGTCCCATGGTGCCTGCCTCAGGAGCCGCCCAGCACCCGTGGCCAGGGGACCACAGGCTCTCCGTGGCCGTGCGTGTGCCCCTGACCACTCTGCTGGCGGGTCCCAGTCCCATCACAATGAACAGCCGAGCCTCCCTCGTGCCATGACAGGCCCAAACCCTGGGTGCAACCCTAGCCCACCAGGCCCCCACCGCCTGAGCCTGTCGCCCACCGTCCCCAGGGCCTTGCACCCCCAGCCCCCTTTCCTCCAGCCAAGCACTCGTCAAGGGCCCCCATGTCTGCCTGTTGCTGACACAGGGTCAGGAGGGAAACTCCAGGCCCTCCGATGCCTTGGCTGTGCATTCTGCCGCCTGCCCGGCCCTGGGGCACCGTGCTCCTGTGGCACAGGGTCTCAGTGCTGGGCCCAGCCACCTCCCTCAGCTCTTCAGGTCTCGGCTCCACTGCCCCCTTCTCGGGGACGCCACCCCGGCAGGCAGCGTCACCCCACACCACCCCTCAGCCACTCACTGCAGGGGCGAGCACACCGCCTGGCACCTGCCTGAGGGCACTGGCTCCCTCCCGAGGAGGGGCTCTCCCCAAGCACATGAGCAGCGGCTGCGTCTCTGCTCACGACCTCCTCGGCACCCACAGCTGCTGCTGGGCCAGCCCTTCCTGAAGCCCAGGACCTCACTCCTGCCCTGCACAGGCCACAAGAGCCACCACCCGACTACCCAGCCTGGACCAGCGCTCCCATGTCCGGGGGCCTCAGCTGGAGCCCCCACTGCCAGTCAGCACAGGGGAGCAGCAGGGGGCGGTTCTCCCGGTGCCCACGGCCCCCAGGGCTCAGGCGCAGGCTCACCTCCGCGATGGTGTCAGCCAGCCCCGGGTTGCACAGGAGCAGCCACCGCCGTGGCGTGATGCCATTCGTCTTATTCTGGAATTTCTCTGGCTCCAGCTCATGAAAGTCCTTAAAGCTAAAAGCAGAAAACAGGTAGCCATCTCCAATGCCGTTCCAAACAAGGTGAGCAAAGAAGGACCTTTGATGGAAAACCCCCGAAGTCCCTGGAGCCGGGCTTTTCTGCCGTTCCCTAGGAGTGCAGGGCTGTCAGCACCATGTGCCCTGAGAGCCCGGGGCAAACACCCTTCAAGGCACCCCACATCTGGCTGTGGGGCGTGGGCTTCCCAGAACCGCACAGGCACCAGGCCTGCCATCCTTCAGAGGGATGGTGATGGTGGGGGGCACAGGCCTTGGAGCTCGAGGACCCGAGGCAAGGTTTACCTCCTCCGTAAAATGGGGACACCCCCAGGGACGTCTGCCTCGGGGATTAAAGATCCCAGAGCCCTTGGGCTGCACCAGGAGCAGAGGCGCCTGAGGACAGGCCTGGTCCAGCCCCCAAGCACCCAGGAGATGCTCCACAGGGCAGGTCATGGAGGGACGGGATGGACTCGGGGATTGTGTGCTGCCACAGAGGGATGGGAAACATGAGATCTGACTTTAGAAGTCCTCCTTCCTCTCCGGGACAGACCCTGGCCACGAGGCGCTGCCCCCACCCTGTCAGACCTGGGGTGCTTGTCCCCAGCTGGGGGCTCATGCTTACGGCCAGTAGCTGGTGGCTCCAGGGGCAGAGCCTCCACCTGGACAGACAGGACCGCAGAAGGCAGGAGTGGCCGCCAGTGAGCAGAAGGCTCAGCCCACCATGCTGCCAGCCAAGTCCCCGCCCACTGGCCAGTGCACTGCAGGCACGGGGAACGGTGTATGGTGTGGGTGGTGGGCAGTCCCCAGAGGCTGCCCAGGCCCAGGGAGAATCTGGTGCCACTCACACCGACTGCTTCACGATCTCCGAGTGGATCCTGGCCACGCCGTTGACCGCGTGGGACCCGATCACGCACAGGTGGGCCATGTTGATCCGCTTGCAGTCCCCCTCCTCGATCACAGACATCCTCCGCAGGCGGTCCACATCCCCGGGGAAGAGGGTGGCCACATGCTGTCCCCAAGACAGAGAACCGTGGGTGGGCGGGTTGGGCCCCACGGGGCCCAGGCCCCCAAGGGAAGTTCCACTTCCTTCAAAAGGATCCTGGGCTCTGCACGCAGCCCCCAGGGCACTCTGAGCCCCAAGGGCGGAAGCCGCTCCCCGCACGCCCTGGCCCAGGGAGGGGCCTGGTCTGACCACCCACTCGGCAGAGCCCCCTGCTGGGGCCAGACGGGGCAGGTGGCACTGGGGACGCCATGCGACTGCAAGGAGAGGGCCGGAGCGTGGTCCCCGCTGGCCGAGGCAAGGCTGACCGCGTTCTGACCGTGGAACAGCTTTTCCACCGAGTTTAAAGAAGTGAATGAACATAAGCACACCTGAACCCAAGCTCGCCCTGCTCTTGTGCCGGCACCCTCCCCGCCTCTGGACAGCGACCTCTGCGCTCCCGGAGGCGGGCACAGCCAAACCCCGACCCCAAACGGGCATATTTAGCCCTGAACGCCTGACTCCCAGACAGCAGGGCTCTAGGTGTGGGGGCTCACCAACAGCTTGCCAAAGACCCCGACCCACAGCACCGGGCCACTGGCCAAGAGAGGGCCCTTGGCGGGGGTGCAGCCCTGAGCCCCACCCATTTCTGTCACCCCGCCCACGGCCCCGCCCATTTCTGTCATCCTGCGCACGGCCCCGCCCGCACTCACGTCCAGGTGCCTCTGGTTGAGTGCATAGATGATCTGTAGGTGCCGCGGCAGCAGCTTCTCAAACATGGACACAGGCCAGCGCTCCAAGGCCTCAGGCAGCACCGTGTGGTTGGTATAGGCACAGGTCTTCTTTGTGATCTCCCAGGCCTAGAACGTTCCAGAACGTCCCAGTGCATTTCGTTTGGGAACAAACAGCTATTTTGCTAGAGGCCTAGGGAAGGGGGAGGTCTGGCCCCGGCAGCGCCTGTCCTGAACCCTCTCTAACCTGCAGGCGAGCCAGTGCCCCCGACGTGCCGGCAGCCCCCACAGCATCGGCCGGTAACGCCTACTCACCCCAGGGCCGCCCCATCTTGCTGGCTTTGCAAGCCATTTTCACTGTGCCAAGCAGTTCTCTACTTCTGTTTCCCCAAACTGGCCTCACGCCCACGGCCCAGGGACACAGGTAAACTGCCCTAATGACAATTACAACCTCGCAGGCTGATTCCAGTAACTAGACCAAGAGAACCCATCACACCGAAGATCTAGGTCAAAGTCAGTCAGCAGAACACACTCTAAGTATGTCAGCAGCATATTTCTTTAAACTTAACACTTCTGGGTTTTTGTGGCAGTTCTAAGATGAGAGAATTACGCGAGGAGCTCAAGGACGCGTCAGGCCTGCCTTGTCTTGCAGAGAACTGCTCCTCGTGTCCCTGCCACGCTGCCCTCACCGTGTCTGGCTCTCGGGGCAGCAGACCCCGCACCCTTGCCCCCACCCAGCACGCACCTTGTCCCAGTCCACTTTCTCCACGTCCACCAGGATCCGCATGAGCTCGGGGATGGCGAGGGCGGGGTGGGTGTCGTTCAGCTGGATGGCGACCTGCAGTGTGCACGCGATCCCATCAGGCCCCGCCTGTGTGGTGCTGCGGTGGTTGGCGTGCGAGCGGCCAGGGTCCTCAGCCAGCCACCCGACAGCCCTGTGCAGGCGCTGAGCCCAGCACAACACGGGCGGGGCCAGGAGGACCCCGTGGACCGGCTCCACGGCAGGCGTGCAGCAGCCACAGGGCCACCAGGCCGATTCCAAATGTCCCCCTCGCCTAGGACACGCGGGCTGTTTGCAGCCACCCAGCCGCCTGCCGACGCATCAGGCTCACCTTCCCCTCATCCCCCCGGGGCCTTTCACAGTGGCTCTGCTGCCTCGGCTCCCAAGGGCACCCAGTGTGGCCGAGCTGGCGAGGCAGGGGGGCCTGCCCCCGATGCCGAGGGGACCTGGACGGGCATGCTGCCGTCCTGCCACGGTGTCGGGGAGGAGCTGACCCGAGGACGCCTGTCCTCGCTGCCAATGCACGAACCTTGTCAGGGAACGTCTCAAAACTGGTCCTCACGGGGTCGCGGCAGCCGAACTTGGAGGACTTGAAGCGGCGAACTATGTCCTGGAGGGTGGCGGCAACCACGAAGTACTCCTGCTTCAGGCGGAGCTCCTTGCCCTCGAAGAACTGAGGCACACAGCGCTGGGGCCGACGCCTCGCTGGGCCCAGCCCCAAGGCCACAGACCCGGGACAGAGCCCCCCGGCCCCGGTGGGTGCCCCAGGCCAGGAGCGGGCCTTCATCGGGGCTCCTGCCCCAGCCTCACCCCAGGGGCTGCAGACACGTGCATGGATGACAGACGGGGGCCTGAGTCCCGGCTGTTGCTGACGCTCAACCCCCAGGACCCGGGACCTACAGCCCACGGGCAGGGGCAGGAGTGCCTGACCTGCATGGGACCTGCGGACAGGGGGCGGGCACAGAGGCAGCCGGCGGAGCCTCACGCGGCCCTGTGGGCGGGTCTAGCTCCCACCAGCAAGAGGCCGAGCACAAGGCCCGGCCGGGCCCCTGCGGTGTGGCCTCCAATGTGTGGGCGCTCTAAGACCGCCCCGTGTCTGGAGTTTCAGGATCTGCCCCAAATCTCCAGGTTTGTGAGCCATTTGGCCCAGTGCCGCTTGCTACCACGTGCGTGTATCACTCCCACACAATAAAGGCCACACAGCCCACGGGTTTGTCTCTGCCAACACAAAAGCCACCGGACACCAAATCTGGTGGCAAGGGAGGCTGTTACCACCATGTGTAGCCCGTAGGGGGCGTGTGGTAAAGGCTTCTCAAGCCATGGCTGTCACGTGTCACTGCAAGAGCGGCACTGGCGTCCCCGCGGCACAAGTGGGCCAAGAGCGGGAAGGGCACGGACGTGAGGTCTGGCAGGCTCCCGCCTCCCCGCTTGAGGGGCCGCTGTGTATTACGGGGGTGTGAGCAGGGCCCAAGAGCCCACGAAGCCCTTAGGGAGAAAGGGCAATGGGGGTGCCCACAGGCAGACTGGGGCTCAGTCAAGGACGCCGGGCCATCCTCATCCCGAGGAGCCTCACGGGCGTCGGTGGCCACCTACATGGTCTCACCCAGACCTGAGGCCTGCAAGCAGAGGCTCTCAGAGCACCCCGGCCTGGCGGTGTGCTGTGCCAGCCTCGAGGGGTGCGGCAGAGACCCGGACCACGCACGCGAGCGACTCACGTTGTCGTTTGGGTACAGGACTCTGGAGATGTTCTCGGCCAGGTTCCTGTCCAGCACAGCCTCGATGTAGCCACCCACGTTGACTGGCGCAGAGACGGCCGGGTCAGGACCGCACGCCTGCCCCATGCGCCCCCCGCCACAGCTCCTCCTGAGCAGGGAGCAGCCTTCCCGGGCAGAAGGCGCCCCCGGCCCTGACCCACAGCACCCTGGGGACTGTGGCGTCCCCCATGCAGGACCCCAGGCTCCTCACTCCCTCCTCAGGGTGCACAGCCCCACGGGAGCTGACTCCACCCGGGGCCTCCCGGGGCCTCACGGAGGCCCCCTGCCCTCGTGGTCCCCACAACAGTGGTGGGACAGGAGCCACACAGGCGAGTCTGGGACAAGCCACCCGACGAAGAGAAGAGGGAGGGACGCACAGTCGTGCAGCTTGAAGTCGTTCGGCGCTTTGGCGGACCACAGCCTCATGGTGTTGACCGTGTTGTTCCGGTAGCCCGGCACCGGGGTGTCATAGGGCATGGCCAGCACCACCTGGCGAGGAGGGAGGGCAGGATGGAGGCCAGCCAGCTGCGCTGTCTTCTGCCCTCACTGCCCCGGGCGCCTCTGCTGGCCTGACCGTCTCCAGCGCTGGGCGGACTTGGCCCTCGGCCCACTTCCCCTCCTCCAGCGCTGCTGTGCCGCCCACCCGGCCCCACCCAGCCCCGCCCAGCCCTGGCCGATGCACAGCCCACCCCGCCCGCCCGCAGCCCCTCCCTCCCCACCCTGCCCGCCCGCGAGCAGCCTCAGGACTCAGCCGCCCCTCCGCACGCACCACGGCTGGTTGACTAGTCTCTCAGCCCCTGTGGCCGTGACCTCGAGCCCATGGCGAAGGCAAGCCAGCCCAGCCCCCTCTCCCGACGGAAACCCAGGACCTGCTCCCCACCCCGACGCCTCGTCCAGAAGCACCAGCTCTGCTCTTGGGAAGCGCAGGAAGAAGGGAACAAGCCCCCGACTGGGCTTGTGGCCCTGCTTCTCCCCTGGCCACCTGCGCAGTGTGACGGCCGCGGCGCAGCAGGCAGTCAGCTGATGCCACGGAGGACAGGCCACGGCACCTCGAGGCGTTCCACCCCGTCTCCCTCAGCCCTCACCCTGCCCCGCTCCCTGCACCCACGGCCTCATCGGGGCCAGGGGCAAGCCCTGCACAGCACGTCCAACCGCCTGCCTTCCCGTCCACGGCCCCCCTCCACTTACGGCCCTCCCCACACCCCAGCAGGATGCCCCCCGTGTCCACGTCCCACACACGCTGACACGGGCATCTTGCGCAAGCACACACTTAGGTAACTGATCGATCCCCTTCGCTTTTCCAAGTTAAGCTCAATGCACGTCACTGTAGGCCTGCACAGCACGGAGCCCCACACAGCCTACTCGAAACTGAGGCGCAGAGTCCGGACACCTCTCGATGCGCACACTGCCTACCCGCAGGCTCACCACTTTGTGCTGCTCTGCCCACGTCACCGGCCTGCTGAGTGTTGCTCTCAGCCGTCCCCGCGCCTGAGGCTCCCTCCTCCCTAGAGCCACCCCGAAGGGCACGGCCACTGCTGAGCCAGACAGGACTGCTCGTGTCCCCTGTGGCCTCACCACGGGCCCGGGGCTCTGACAGCTCCCTGGGGGGCTGTTCCCGGGAGGCACCACCCATGGGACCAAGAGCATGTGTCCAGTGGGAGCGTCAGAGACCTCCAGAGACGACGGGGGCTGCTCGTATCCCCCAGGTCCCATCACCATCCTCCCTGCCCCTGAACTGCCGGCCTCCCCCCACGCCAGCTCCTCTGAACCCGTTCAGCACCTTCTCACCTGGACCGTCCCGACCAGTGAGAGCTGGCGTCTGAGAGCAGGACCCCCCAGGCTCTCATCTCGAGCAGCATGCCCCCCACGGCCCCAGGAAGGCGCCATCGGGTACCTGCGTGTCCAGCCACCTCGCGCCCTCAGGGCTGTGCTCCACCCTCCCGTAGAAGTGCACGGGAAGCATGTACTCGGGCCGGGCCTTCTCCCAGGGGTTGCCGTAGCGCAGCCAGTCGTCCGCCTCCTCCACCTGCAAAGGGGCCGCAGCAAGGTGAGTCCCGGGGCCACGGCCGATGAGCCGCTGCCCAGCACAGGGACAGAACCACAGCCCCTCATGAAGCTCAAATCTCCTATTCTGGTCAAGGCTATGTGTTTGAGAATTCACACTCTGGACTATTAAAGAAATAAACTGATAAAATTCAGAAAAATGCATCAGAGTGAAAACACATGGAGAACCACCTGAATTCAGCAATAAAAGGAGTGAGGTCCTAGAGAAATTAAAGAGTACACTAACAAATGGAAATTCATCCCATGCTCTTGGTTAGGAAGAATTAATATAGTCAAAATGGCCATCCTGCCCAAAGCAATCTACAGATTCAATGCAATCCCTATCAAAATACCAACGAACAGCATTTTTCAACAAACTGAAACAAATATTTTAAAAATTTATATGGAACCACAAAAGACCCCAAATACTCAAAGCAATCCTGAGAAGGAAGAATAAGGCAGGGGGTATTACACTCCCTGACTTCAAGCTCTACTACAAAGCCACAGTAATCAAGACAGTTTGGTACTGGCACAAGAACAGACCCACAGACCAGTGGAACAGATTAGAGACTCCAGATATTAACCCAAACATATGGTCAATTAATATTCGATAAAGGAGCCATGGACATACAATGGGGAAGTGACAGCCTCTTCAACAGCTGGTGCTGGCAGAACTGGGCAGTTACGTGTAGGAGAATGAAACTGGATCACTGTCTAACCCCATACAGAAAAGTAAACTCAAAATGGATCAAAGACCTGAATGTAAGTCATGAAACCATAAAACTCTTAGAAAAAAATATAGGCAAAAATCTCTTGGACATAAACATGAGCAACTTCTTCATGAACATATCTCCCCGGGCAAGGGAAATAAAAGCAAAGATGAACAAGTGGGACTATATCAAGCTGAAAACCTTCTGTACAGCAAAGGACACCATCAATAGAACAAAAAGGTATCCTACAGTATGGGAGAATATATTCCTAAATGACAGATCCGATAAAGTGTTGACATCCAAGATATATAAAGAGCTCACGCTCCTCAACAAACAAAAAGCAAATAATCCAATATAAAAAATGGTCAGAGGAGCTGAACAGACACTTCTCCAAAGAAGAAATTCAGATGGCCAACAGACACATGAAAAGATGCTCCACATCGCTAGTCATCAGAGAAATGCAAATAAAAACCACAATGAGATATCAGCTCACACCAGTAAGGATGGCCACCATCCAAAAGACAAATGACAACAAATGTTGGCAAGGATATGGAGAAAGGGGAACCCTCCTACACTGCTGGTGGGAATGTAAATTAGTTCAACCATTGTGGAAAGCACTAATGGAGGTTCCTTAAAAAGCTCAAAATAGAAATACCATTTGACCCAAGAATTCCACTCCTAGGAATTTACCCTAAGAATACAGCAGCCCAGTTTGAAAAAGACACATGCACCCCTATGTTTATTGCAGCACTATTTACAATAGCCAAGAAATGGAAGCAACCTAAGTGTCCATCAGTAGATGAATGGATAAAGAAGATGTGGTACATATACACAATGGAATACTATTCAGCCGTAAGAAGACAACAAATCCTACTATTTGCAACAACATGGATGGAGCTGGAGGGTATTATGCTCAGTGAAATAAGCCAAGTGGAGAATGACAAGTACCAAATGATCTCACTCATCTGTGGAGCATAAGAACAAAGCAAAACTGAAGGAACAAAACAGCAGCAGAATCACAGAACCCAAGAATGGACTAACAGTTACCAAGGGAAAGGGACTGCGGAGGAGGGGTGGGAAGGGAGGGAGAAGGGGAGGTAAAAGGGGGCATCACGATTAGCATGTATAATGTGGGGGGGGCACGGGGAGGGCTGTGCAGCACAGAGAAGACAGGTAGTGACTCTACAGCATCTTACTACACTGATGGACAGAGACTGTAATGGGGTTTGTGGGGGGGACTTGGTGATGGGGGGTGTCCAGTAAACATAATGTTCCTCATGTAATTGTAGATTAACGATACCAAAATTAAATTAAACTAACTTAAATTAAAAAAAGGAGTGAGGTCCTGATGGCACAAGGGCCCTCAAGCACACTCGTCAGAGCCCACGTGTGGGACCCGGTCGCGTGAGGCCTGAGGAGCGGCCAAGAGCGGAGACAGAGGCAGGTGGGCGGTCGGGCCTGGGCCGCGGCTGCAGGGCGGTGCCGGGCTCCTCCCAGGCCGCGGACCGGGGGCTGGGAAGGCGGTGATGTGTTAAAAGCCACTTGGTATCTCAATAAAGCTGTTACGTATCGACAAGAACCGGAGCTGCTGCTGTGCGGATGAGGGGCACTCGGGGTGCCGGGCACCGTGGAGTGTGGGTGTGGCTCTTCCACGAGGCTGCCCTGTGGCAGCTTAGTGTTCAGAAGCTGTGCCAGGGCCGCCCAACCCGAAAATATGTAAAAACTGCGGAAGGTGACACTGGAAGGGGCTCCCGGGCTCCGGCGACCCTCTGAGCGGAAGCACGTGGGGAGCTTCTCCCGCCGCCCCAGGGAACCCATCCTGCGTGGCTGAGAGGAGACAGCGGTGGATATGGACCCACTGAAACGAGGAGAGATGCAGTCTTCCTGTCCGCATCAACACGCGGCCCCACAAGCTCGGGGAGGTCCCCTCCTCCCGGGCCTCATCTTCCTGGGCTCGGTGTTCTCACGGACGGAAGGTCTGTGGTGAGCCCGCATCCAGCAGCCTGGGCACGTCGTGTCTCTGCCCACTCCGGGGCATCTCCCGATATTTCAGACTTCATCATTATCACATCCGTTAGGACGTGCGATCGGTGACGATGATTCTCTGAAACCGCAGATGACGGTCAGCGCTTTGTAGCAAGAAAGCATTTCTAAGACGCGCCTGTTGTGCTGAGACACGGCGCTGTGGAGCTCAGGCTACGGCGCGTGTGACGTGGCTTCGTGCGCCCGGGAAGCCGCATTGTCAGACCCGTGTTCCTCGAAACCCACTGTACCGTGGAGGTCTGGAGGCCAGCCCACGGGATCCCCGAGGTGGTCTCGGAAAGCCATCGGAGAGCATTTGGGCAGCTAGGGAGGTGCCGTGGCCGAGGTCACACACGCCCCACTGGTGGTTCTGGCGACCGCACAGGACCGCGCGACCCGAACCCCCATGACGCGGGGCGTTTCCGTCACCCGGGAGCAGCGCGTTCGTTCAGACTCTCCTGCCACGAGCCTTCCCACCCCAACCCCAGGACTGCTCTGTCTGTCACTTCAGGCCCCACATGCATTAAATAGGCTGGTCTCTGGTCGAAGAACAGCCTCCGTTCTGAGGAACTGAGCGAGGGGCCCAGCCTGCCCGGTGGAGGACGGGACACTTGTTTGAGATCCAGCTCGTCTTGCCACACGGTCCCGACCCTCTTACTCAGCCTGAGAACCAAAGCTCCCTCTTCCCCAGGGCTGCGGCTCTGCAGAGTCCAGCCGCTGGCCCCCTGTGGCTCCCACGCCAGCGCCAGCAGGTGAAGGCAGGTGGGAACAAGCCTGCAGTAACTGTCTTTCAACGACTCCAGGTCAGTGACCCAGACAGGGCCACCCTGGTGCCACGCCGAGGCACCACGGGAAGCCCAGCCACAGCACGTGGGTCTTCGTGCCTGGCGCCTCCTGTGAGGCTCACGCAGACCGGCCCTGCCCACGGAAACATGAGGACAGCGAGGTGCTCCCAAGGCTGCCCTGACTGTGCCCGCCTCCGCTTTGCCTGGGACTGGCCTGTAGTCCCTCCAGGAAGGCATTTCCAGGGTGAAAAGCTGAGCTAAAAGTGCCCCTGTTGACTTTCCCCTGTGAAAGAGCAAAGGAACCGGTTCTCACCCACCTGCCAGCCATTGACAATCTTCTGGTTAAAAATCCCAAACTCGTAGCGGATCCCATAGCCGTATGCTGCCAGGCCCAGGGTAGCCATGGAGTCAAGGAAACAGGCTGAAAATTCCAAGCACAAACAACTTCTTGGGATCAGAGGCAGCAGATCCGGGGCCATTGGGGGGCAAGGCCCCGCTGCCATGCTAAGGCGGCCCTGGGTCACCGGCCCGGTGCCAGACTGTGCAGCCATGGTGACCGGCCAGCTGCAGGCTTCATGAAAGGGAACCGAGCTCCCTGGCTGGTTCCTTCAGCCTGAGGGCCCAGAGCCCCACCAGGAGGGCATCAGAGAGGCCCCTGGGGGTGGGGTCCATGGGGAGGGAGGGTCAGAGCCCACAGAGAGCAGGGCAGGCTCCGCACGTCTCCACTTCTGCCGGCTCGCGGAGAGCCTCACTTGGGCGCGGGCCCCCCACCTACACTTCCTACTCGAAACCCCTGCTGTCTGCCCAGCTCTGCCCACTGGGGGAGACGCAGGGCTGTCCGTGTGCATCTCTCCATCCACAGGGACCCCGACAGCCAAGCGCCAGGGCCACCAGGGGCTGGGGCAGCGCGTCAGCAAAACAAGCCCTGGTTCCAATCGACACGTCTTGAAAAAACACAATGTATCAAACAAGGATCCGGAAGGCAGCCTTGTTAGACTTCTGGATCAAAAATAAGAAAAGTCCACATGAAACCCCAGCCAATAAAATACATGCCAGTCCACCAAACACCCGCAGGCCCCTGGCACGTGGTGGGAGCAGAGGCTGACAGCTGGGGCTGGGCTCTCCTGCTCAGGGAGGCATCTGCTCGGGGGGCCCTGGCACACCAGGCTGCCGCAGGATGGGGCCACCCAGGTCTGCACGCCGAGAGCTCCCAGGAACCAGAGGGGCCCACGGGGAGGGGCTGCTGCACCTGCCCACGGATGACCAGGGCACTGCAAGCGCAGGGAAGGTTGGCAGGGGGTCAGCAAGAGCTGGACCGCAGAAGGCTGAGAACACTTGGGGCAGAGTGGCCCAGGCAGGGTGGCCAGCCAGTCGCCAGCCCCCTGCCTTGGGCTGAGGGGACAGCAGGCAGCCACTCCAGGCCCCTGCAGGCCGTGGAGACCAGGGTCGGGGGGCTTCCCGGTAGCTTGGGAAACAGGTTTTTACTGCCTGAGAAGATGGCTGAGATCACAGAACACCTGGGGGAAGGGGCCCCTGGGGCTCTGGGGGGCTGTGTGCTGTCCGCCAGCAGTTGTACCATGATTCCGTCTATGGGAAGAAAGCCTCAGCACACTATGACCTCACCCCAACCTGTGTGACCTCACCTCTACCTGTGTGACCTCACCCCACCTATATGACCTCACCCCCACCTGTATGACCTCACCCCCACCTGTATGACCTCACCCCCACCTGTATGACCTCACCTCCATCTGTAGGATCCCATACGACCTGTATGACCTCACCTCCACCTGTATGACCTTCCCCCCACCTGTGTGACCTCACCTCCATAAACTGAAACAGGCCCTGCATTTGGGAGCAAGCAGAGTGGATGGGACACAAGCTTTCACAGTAGAGGTGGAGGAGAGGCAGACCCCATGAATCGTTTCTTTGTAGATTTTGTTTGCGAGGAACATATATTGCATTTACAATTTTTGAAGAATTTAAGTTAAAATGTGAAAACATAAACACACACTCCCCCAAGTAAATCTTAGGGCGTTTGCTCCCTTCACAAACTGATGACTCCCAGAAGGGGCTGTGACGCGAAGCGGCAGGGGCCCAGGTCCAGCCCCTCCACATAGGAAGGCAGGACAAGACCCGGCCTCCCTGCCCCGACAGTGCGCCCGAGGGCCTTGGGGTGTGAGCAGAACCGGAGCTCACTGCTGTCTCCTCTTCCAGTTCACCGACCCGGCTCCCTCTCCCCAGAAGCTGGCAGGAAGAATTACAACAGAAAAACAACTCTGGCTCCCTCTTGGTCAGGGCAGGCCAGGGAGCAGCCCCCAGACCCCCCCATCACTGTAGCCCCGGGAGCAGCTCGCTGTGAGCCGGCTGATGTCCCTGACGCATGTGCGTGCGTGTGTGTCTCCACCGGCCTTTCTCCCTTTCTCCTCGTCACTGCCTGCCTCCACCGGCCTTTCTCCTCGTCACTGCCTGTGTGTGTGTGTGTGTGTGTGTGTGTGTGTGTGTGCGCACGCCTCCACCGGCTTTTCTCCTCGTCACTGCCTGTGGGAAGCGGCTGGCATACTGGAGGCCCCTCCGAGCACCCGTCACCAGCACCGGCAAGCCCGGTCTCCAGGAGCGTCATGAAGTGCCCCTTATATAAGGACAACAGCTATTTCACATTGTTTCCATTGGCGGCAAAGATTTCTGGTTTAGAGGGTGCTCCCCTCCACCCGAGGGACTGGCACACGCCTAGCAGGTCGGTGCGGGTGCGGCTGAGCTGGGGGTCTCTTTGTGGGTTGCTGCCCAGGCGCCGCGCGAGGGGCCACGTCCAGACCAGGCCCGGTTACCTGCCAGCCTCCCCAGGCCTCCGTTCCCGAGGCCCGCGTCCTCTTCAATCTCCTCCAGCTCCTCCAAGTCCAGCCCCAGCTGCCAGTCAAAGCACAGGAAACATTTCAGTATTAATCATATTTTCCCTCAAGCAACAGCTGGAAAGATATTTAAATCTTGTAAACTTGTCTCAATCCAAGATTAGAGTCTGCTTTCCTTTAGACTTGAAAACCCAGTGTTAAAATCGGGTGTGTGAAAATGAAAGTCTCCAGGTAGTTCAAAAGCTGCCAAACTACTTAAGAATGAGCGGCCAGAATGAGCCTTGGGTTAATAGCCCAAGTTTTTTACTGCCAGGTTATTAACCCACTTACAGTGGACAGATTATATCCTAAAAATGAAACCAATGGTTTTAATAATTCTCTAATTTGCATGGTCTGATGGTATTTACGTGACATATTTTTAAACAGAAACCTACAAGCACCTTCCAGTGGCCTTCACACACTCTGGTGACACCGCTGTGGCATGTCAAGCATCAGAGGGAAGCTACAGCCACAGCCTTGCAGCCTGACTCGGAGCCGTTCTAGAAGGCGGACCGAGAGGTCTCCTGCTATGACGGACAGTCGTTCCATCAATCGAGCTTTACCATATCAAACTTGACATAGTGCTCACATTACTTACCTTGATCAGCGGTTTTTAAACTTTTTCATTTCAGGACTGGAATTATACCTATCAATATTTACCAGGTGAGAAATTAAAATGGAGAAATGTTTTTTTAAAGTATGTACGAGTTCATTTAAAAGTAACAGTAAACTCATTACGTATTAACATAACACAGTTTAATGAAAAATATATTTTCTTAAAGCAAAAAAAATTTACTGAGAAGAATGACAGTATTTTTTATCTTTACAAATAAATCTCTTGAATGGACTTTCTCCTTCAGCATTCAATCTGTTGCAATACCACGTATCAGGCAGCCTGTGGAAGACACCACGTGTGCTCGTGAGAGGATGAGAATAAATAGCTCCGGCCTGCTGGACCCCCTGAGAAGGTCTCAGGGCCCCTGGGCACCTCCAGCCACACTTTGAGAACACGGCCAGTCATGAAGGGTGGAAGAAAAGCCGAAAGCCGTGAGAACACAGAAACATCAGGGCCGCGAAGGAAGTAAGGCTGGAGGTATCGGCACGCACGGTGGTCTGGTTCAGAGTAAGAATTCAGATTACTGACTTAACTCCCATAGTAATTTTAAAGAGTGTTTTCCACCAAAATATTTTGGATATGGGGGGGACATAAGATTTACCTAACACACACACTAGCTCAAAGTTAAGAAATATATTTAACTACAACATTTTCCAAATTTACCTGACCACCGGACCCCTTATGCACGAAACAATCCGTAGACCCAGAGACCACACCGAATAGAGGCGGGGCAGAGGCGCGGGGAAGATGATTTGCCCCTTTCTGTTTCAACCCCGAGCGCTGAGGCACCCCTCAGCTTGCTCCGGCGAGCTGCGCCCTAGCTCTGCGTGTCTGGGCCACAAAGAGCACCCCAGGCAAAGGCTGAGACCTCGCGGAGCGGGCCCCTGAAGGCAGAACGTGCGACGGGGTGCTCGGCCTGCTTTTCCTTCACCAAGACGTCACCCACGGGCCCCGGAGCTCTCCCTTTCAAAGTGAACCAAGCCGGCGGCCCTGCGGTAGAGCCGCCCTGGTGTGCAGCCATCACCACCATTCACCTCCAGAATGTCACTTCCAGAAGCAGCCCCACCTCACTGGCACCCTTCCCGCAGCCCCGGGCAGTCGCTTTCCTACCTTGTGTCTCTATGGATTGGCCTATTCTAGATGTTTCCTATAAATGGAAACACACAACATGTGACCTTCTGCATCCCAGCTTCTTTCAACGGAACAGTGTCTTCAGGCCCGCCCGTGGCTGTGTGCGCCGGCGCTTCCCCTCGCTGCGCAGCGCTCTGTCCATGGCTAGGCCACCTTAGGTCACACGTCAGTCGATGGACACTAGGGGTGTTCCCACTTTTTGGCTATTATGAAAAATGCCTCCATGAACATTCATATACGATTCTTTGTGTAGACTTGCGTCTTCATTTTTCTGTTATTAACCTGGCAGTGGCACTGCCGGGTTGTATGGTAATTTTATGCTTAACTTCCTGAGCAAGACTATTTTCCAAAGTGCTCCACCACTTTACTGTCCAACCAGCAACACACGAGGGCTCCAGTTTCCCGCACCCTCGCCAACGCTGCCCCCTGTCTGGGTGATCAGAGCCATTCCCATGGGTGTGAAGTGGCCTCGGTTTGCATTTCACTGATGACTAACTGCTGGACATCCTTTCATCTTCTTGTAAGTCTTCTTGGGAGAAATGTCTACTCAAGTCCTTTGCCCATTTTTCAATGGGGTCCTTTTTTTGTCATTGAGTTGTCTTTATATATTCTGGAAACCAGACCCTTATCAAATTTGTGATTAACAAATATTTGTCCAGCTTTGAAGGCTGTCTTTTCCCTTTCTTCGTACTGTTCTTTGATGGACAGAAGTTGATGCTTTTGTCTAATTTATCCACTTTTTCTTGTATTGCTTGTGCTTTTAGTATTATTTCTAAGAATCCCTTGCCAAATCATGAAGATTTACTATATGTGTTCTTCTAAGAGTTTTATGGTTTTAGCTCTTACCTTTGGGTCTTTGATCCATTTTGAGTTAATTTTTGTATGTGGTGTGATGCAAGGAGTCAGCGTCATTCATTCGCACGTGAATGTCCAAACGCCCCGGCACTGCTTACTGGGAAGACCATCCTTCCCGCACCGAGTGGTCTTGGCACCCTTCCCTCTGAAGGCATCAACTGACCATAGGGAACACCAAAACCACAGGCCACAAAAGAAGAAACAGACCAACTGGACTTGATGAAAATTTTAGACTTTTGTGCACTCAAGGACACTGCACAACAGAGTACATGCACATAAAAAAGACGCCCCCTATCACTCATCATTAGCGAAGTGCTGATGAAAACTAAAATTAGCACACCATTAGAATGACTATCAAAAAAAGAATGAAAAATAGAAGTGACAAGTGCTGGTGAGGACGTGGACAACCCTTGTGCCTGCTGGCAGGAGGGTGCAAGGATGCAGCCGCTGCAGAAAACAGACAATGCATTCTCAGAAAGTTAAACACAGAAAATCATGATCCCGCAATCCCACTGCTCGGTAAACACCCAGAGGAACTGGAAGCCGGCTCTTGAAGAGGCATCTACACCCACGTTCATAACAATACTATTCATAATAGCTATGCGGTGGAGGCAATCCAAGTGTTTATTTACAGCTGAATGGATAAATATGGAGTACCTACGTACAATGGAATATTACTCATTTTTTTAAAAAGAAGGATTCTGACATATACTACAACATGGATGAATCTTGAAGATACTAAGCCAGTCAAAAAGGCAAGATTGTGAATTCTCAGTGATACGAGGTACCTAGAACGTCAAATTCACAGAGGCAGAAAACAGAATGATGGTCATCTGAGCTGGGGGAGGGGATAATGGGGAGTTAATGCTGAATGGACGTAGCTTCAGTTTTGCAGGACGAAAGCTGGCCGGTGGCGTCCAGTGCACACCCTGAATGCACTTGATGCCACTGAACTATGTGCTCAAGCACAGTTACGATGGTAAATTAATATTATGTGTATTCTATTACAATTGTTTTTAACTAGGGGAAAAAAATCAATTGGCTCTTCATGTGAGGGTTTGCTTGTGGGCTCTTCTCTTCCATCTCCGCGTGTGTCTACCCCGAGGCCACTTCCACGTAACCCTGCTGACTAAAGCTTCGTAGTGAGTTTTGCAACTGGGCGGCACGAGTGTTCCAGCTCGGTGCTCCTTCTCCAGGATGAGTGCTGCCTGGCCTGCGCCTCTCCCTCTGGGTCTTAGACCCGGCTGTCGGCCTCTGCAGAGCAGCCAGCTGGAGTCTTAGTGGGGACGGCAGGGCGACTGCAGGGCGTCTGCAAGTCAGTCTGGGGACTGTCACCGTCTGAACGGCACTGAGTCTTCCAAGCCACGCATGGACAGGGATGTCTTTCCTTCTTCAGTCTTCTTTAATTTCTTTCAACAATGTCTTACGGTTTTCAGAATAAAGCTTATACTTTTTTTGGAAATTCATTTTGAAGAGTTTTATCCTTCTTGATGCTATTTTAAGTGGAATTGTTTTAATTTCATTTTTGGATTGTTCATCGTTAAGTGTATAAACACACGGTTGATTTTGTCTACTCATCTGGTGTCCTACAACCCTGCTGAGTGCGCTCATTGGTACTAACACACTTGTATGGATTCCCGGGGGCTCCTACATCGTGTCATCCGCCAACAGACACGCCCACTCAGTCCTTCTTCCTCTCCACTCTGGATGCCTCTTATTGCATTTTCTTGCCTAAACACCCTGGCAAGAACCACCAATACAAGGCTGCGTAGAAGTGGGCAGAGTGACATCCTTGGGGCAGAGCAGCAGGCTAAACCAGCAGCTGGAGACGCCGTCTGCCGAGTGCAGGCCGCGGGGCGCTCCACGGGATAAACCCGGTGTCAACAAAGAAACCACAAGGCAGAAAAATAAGAGAAGAGGAGAATCCTAGAGTCAGAGAGATGTAGGACCCTTTTGCGGCTCACAAGCACGCTGACGGGGTGTTCACACCCTGTGTGATGTGTCTCCTTCAAACCTTATTATGATGTCAGCACATTGCCTGTCTGACTTGAAAAAAAAAAAAAAGACAGATTTAAGAAACTTACCAAATGCAACCAAGTTTCTGAACATACTGTTAAAACAAGTTATGAGGCAATCAGAGAAATTTGTCCATTGCCTGAAAAAAACTATTAAAAAATTATTGCCAGTATTTTAGGGGTCATAATGACCCTATATTTAGAGATACCTATTGAAATAGTTACAACTGAAATATGCTGTCTGATGTTGGCTTAAATAAGCCAGGAGTGCTGGAGGAACCAGCAAAACGGGACTGGCTGTGAGCTGGGCTTGGTGACCGGTGAAGCCAGGTGATGGGTATGTGGGAAAGTTCCCCAGAACAATCACTCTATTTTTCTATGTATTTTAAATATGCTATAACAGAAAAGTTCTTAAATGTGTCCTGGATGGCTCAATCAGTAGACTACTGTTTCTTTTGAAGTTCTAGCCTTTAGGGCAATCTGCTCCCCAGCTACAACTTCCCAACCCTGCTGAGGTGGTGGTGGAATGAATTATTTCTGACGTTATAAATGGGGGGCTTGGGGGAGGACCGTCCAAGCCCCGTGTCCTCCTCTGGCTGCCACTCAATGCACTGGACACCCCGCCTTACGACTCAAAGGACCGGCAAGTGTGCGTCTAGAGACAGTGCACGTTCCAGCATTGCGATGACCTTTCAGACACAAGATTGATTAAAAGCTAAATATCAAGTGAAAACCACTTTTAAGGAATGCTGTCCATTTAAAAGGTGTATGCTCCCTGTACTTTCTAAGTTTCTAGGATTAACATTTTTGTGTAATAAAAATTATAAGCAGAAATTACATATTTATGGTGTAAACACTGCCTAAGATCTTTACTATCTGCAAGAAGGGCATGAAGAGAAAATGTTCTGAAAAATAAAATGCTTTACACAACTGTAAACCCCACTAAATACCCAGATATTGCATGCTCTGTGGTTCATATCCAGTCAACAGAGCTCACATGACAGATCACCTGCCAGGACAACCTCTTTTTCTAGATAATTTTGAGCATAAGACTCCTATTTTAGGAAATCAAATTTTGTCCCCTACCCTTTTTTTTTTTGGTATCATTAATGTACAGTTACATGAGCAACATTATGGTTACTGGACTCCCCTCATCATCAAGTCCCCCGCACATACCCCATTACAGTCACTGTCCATCAGTGCAGTAAGATGCTGTAGAGTCACTACTTGTCTTCTCTGAGCTATACTGCCTTCCCCGTGCCTCCCCGGGGCTACATTATGTGTGCTAATTACAATACCCGTTCTTCCCCCCATCACTCCCTTCCCACCCACCCTCCCCAGTCCCTTTCCCTTGGTAACTGTCAGTCCATTCTTGGGTTCTGTGAGTCTGCTGCTGTTAGTTCCTTCAGTTTTTTCTTTGTTCTTATACTCCACAGATGAGTGAAATAATTGATAATTGTCTTTCTCCACCTGGCTTATTTCACTGAGCATAATACCCTCTAGCTCCATCCATGTTGTTGCAAATGGTAGAATTTGTTTTCTTCTTATGGCTGAATATATTCCATTGTGTATATGTACCACATCTCCTTTATCCATTCATCTACTGATGGTCACTGAGGTTGCTTCCATTTCTTGGCTATTGTAAATAGTGCTGCAAAAAACATAGGGGTGCATGTGTCTTTTTCAAACTGGGCTGCTGTATTCTTAGGGTAAATTCCTGAAGTGGAATTCCTGGGTGAAATGGTATTTCTGTTTTGAGCTTTTTGAGGAACCTCCATACTGCTTTCCACAATGGTTGAACTAATTTACATTCCCACCAGCAGTGTAGGAGGGTTCCCCTTGCTCCACAACCTCGCCAACATTTGTTGTTGTTTGTCTTTTGGATGGTGGCGATCCTTACTGGTGTGAGGTGATATCTCTTTGTGGTTTTAATTTGCATTTCTCTGATGACAAACGATGTGTAGCATCTTTTCATGTGTCTGTTGGCCATCTGAATTTCTTCTTTGGAGAACTGTCTGTTCAGATCCTGTGCCCATTTTTTAATTGGATTATTTTCTTTTTGTTTGTTGAGGTGCGTGAGCTCTTTATATATTTTGGATGTAAATCCTTTATCGGATCTGTCATTTATGTATATATTCTCCCATACTGTGGGATGCCTTTTTGTTCTATTGGTGTCCTTTGCTGTACAGAAGCTTTTTAGTTTGATATAGTCCCATTTGTTCATTTTTTTGTTTCCCTTGCTCAGGGAGACATGTTCAGGAAGAAATTGCTCATGTTTATGTCCAAGAATATTTTTGCCTGTGTTGTCTTCTAAGAGTTTTACGGTTTCATGACTTACATTCAGGTCTTTGATCCATTGGAGTTTACTTTTGTGCATGGAGTTAGACAGTGATCCAGTTTCATCCTCTTACACGTAGCTGTCCAGTTCTGCCAGCACCATCTGTTGAAGAGGCTGTCACTTCCCCGTTGTATGTCCATGCCTCCTTTATTGTATATTTATTGGCCATATATGCTTGGGTTAATATCTGGGCTCTCTCGTCTGTCCCACTGGGCTGTGGGTCTGTTACAGTGCCAGGACCAAACTGTCTAGATTACAATGGCTCTGCAGGAGAGCTTGAAGTCAGGGAGTGTAATTCTCCCCACTTCATTCTTCCTTCTCAGGATTGTTTTGGCTATTCAGGGTCTTTTGTGGTCCCATGTGAGTTTTAGAGCTATCTGCTCTAGCTCGTTGAAGAACGCTGTCTGTGTTCTGACAGGGATTGCACTGAATCTGTAGATGGCCATTTTGTTTTGCCCCCCACTTTTACTGTGCCAACTGAAACTACCTGCCCCAAATTCTCCTCTTCACTAAGTCTTGGAGGGGGAGACAGGAGCCCCCGAAATGCAGGGCTGCCTGAGACCTGTGCAAGGCCCCCAACAAGGCCCCCAAAGCACCTTGCACCCCAAAGCAGCAAAAGCAAAGGTGGTGGCAGGGGCTGCAAGGAGGGCGCAGCTGGCGAGGGCTCCTGCACATCACGGGGGCGGGCGGGCGCCGTGTGCTCACACCTGCAAGCTCCACTCAGAGCACCGGCGGAGGGGAGGCCGTGCAGAGCCCAGCAGCGCAGAGGGAGGTGACCCGGGCCCTGCCCTGCCCCGAGGCTGCCGAGCGCGGCCGGCCCCCGAGTGAGCGGCTGCTGGTGAAGACCCACTGAGCAAAGGCAGTTCTTGCTCTGACTAGGGGGCAGAGGGCAGTTTCCTAACTAGAGTGCGGGACGGCACAGAGGTTATCTTAGGGGTAGAGGGGGGATCAGTGCTGCAAGGACGGATGGGCCGAAATCGTCTACTGCTGCTGTGCGCTGACCTGCCCGGGCTGAGGGGAGGAGGGCAGCGGCTTCCAGAGGCTTCGGAACCCCGGCGTCACAATGCAGCGCAGTGCTCGTGCCTCCCACGTGAGCTCCCCAGCCCATTCTTACCTTCTCCCCCTGGGGAGGCGGGGCGCCAACCACTCTCCCCCATGAGGGGCGCCCTGCACCCGGAAACACCACCTGGCCCCCTGGCAGCTGTGAACCCCGGCGTCAGCTCAACCCAGGGCTGCTTTAGGCAGCGCAGAGGCTGCGCCGCAGGACCCGTACCTGGTAAACAGCCTCATCACAGGCGCTCTGAAGGCCCAGGTTCACCATCGTGTTCTGCAGCGTGCGGCCCATGTAGAATTCCAAGGAAAGGTAGTAGATGCGCTGAGGAAACAAAAGGAGACACCTCGGGCTCCCACTCGGTCCCCACGGGGAAGGCCCCCTGGTGAGCGCAGCTCACAGGCACAGCCCCCGGGGCCCCAGACGCCACAGCCTCCGCTCGCTGTCCCTGAGGCCCAGGAGGGTGTGAACCCCCGACAGCGGGCAGGCAGGCCAGGGAATGAGGCTCCCGCTGGGCGGAGGCAGGTCTGGGCTGGGCCTGGCCTCCTCCGGCACCTGTCCTGGGGCTGCTGACCCCCCACATCGCGGACGCAAGCAGCCTGGGAGGGGGCTGGGGCGACGCACACATGGGGCACCGGGAATGTCCATCTGCACACCAGCACAACCACATGGACAGACGACCACGCCGCCTCCGCACAGGGCTGCCTGCTGTGGGCTGGGGCCTGGCCAGGGACAGCGCCCTGAGGGGCGACACCCTACTTCCTGGGCCCCGCACAGGCCCGCCCTTCCCTCGCTGCCCCTGCGCTCCTCACAGCCAGCGGACCCAGGCCCGCTGCCCTCCACATGAAGCCTGGGGAACATGCGGGAGAGGCGGCACGTTCCACGGGGCAGCTCTGGGCAATGCGCGGGGGACTGGGAGGCACAGACCCTCCACCGCCCCACTGCACCCCGGGACCAGCATGCTGGACCTCCGGGGCTAACAGGCCACCTGCACAGCCTCCAGGCACCCCCAAAACAGTCCCAATCACAGGGGTGCTTTCAACACATGCACAAGATCTCTGATACCCTTCACCCCAGGTACACTGGAGACACCTTTCCAAACCAGGGTCTGGAAAGGCGGATTCTGACCTCAAGGCGAAGAACCGCACTGCTGCCACCTTCCCCAGGGCCCAGGCACACAGCACAGAACAGGTCTGGCGCTCGGCTGGGAGGTCTTCCCATAGCGCCCTGAGCCCACGCTGACCATGAGAACCCACCACTACCCCCACCCCGGCAGGCCCAGCTGGGGGCCAGCCTGCAGGCGCCTGGCCTTGCTCATCCCAGAGAGGAAACCACGCAGACAGGCCCTAGAGCAGGCCTATGGCAGAGAGGGTGCTGGTCAAACCCGAGGGTGAGCTGCAGGGGGCCGAGGGCAGTGCCAGCATCCTGGCTCTGCCATCCCCGCAAGTCTAGAGTCGCTTCTCAGTGGGAGAGTGCACACACCGCCTGGAGAAGGTCTGTCAGTGCCTGCAGGCCGCCGCACACGCGAACCCGGGGCACGGCGCTGACTGCACAATGGCTTTATCTTTCCTGTAGGTCAAAATTTCCAAAATCCAATCTGAAAAATCTACTTCCCTGTGCGCTGCAGGGTGCAGGGAGAGAGGCCTGGATTCATTGTCCGTGGACACCGCCTGGGGTGCCAGGCGACCTGACAGCCGTGCCCCAGCCTGCTCCCAACAGCGACTCTCCTAAAAGTGCCTATTTTACCCCCGGGGCAAGGATGCTGACCAGAAACACCCCAGGAGACTGCGGGCTCTGCTAGGACAGTTGACTCAGCAGCCTGCCCTCGGGCCTCAGGGCCGCCTTCCGTGTTAGTTCACACTGTCCTGCCACAATTTTCAAACTAGTCTCTTCAGAACCTAGAAGCAGCCTCAAAGGGTGGGCCAGGCAGAAGGGGCTCCCAGCTCGCAAGACACGTGGGCAGGGGACCTAAGTGAACGGAGAGGCAGCCCACCTCAGTGGATGGGAAGGCTGGACACTGCTACAATGGCAAAGCTCCCGAAATGGACCTACAGACTCAACACAGTTCCTCTCAAAACTCCAGCTGGCCTCCTTGCAGAATGACAGGATCATCCTAATTTTCAGATGGAAATGCAAAACATTTCAAATAATCAAAACAATCTCGAAAAATAAGACCAAAGTTACAGAGCTCAGACTTCCTAACCTCAAACCTTATACTACTTAACAATAGTCAACAAGACGTGGTGGTGCTGGCGTAACGACACCCAGACCAATGGGATTCACTAGAGTTCAGAAACAGAAATGCACATTCATGGTCAACTAATCTCCAACAAGGGCACCCAGATGATTCAGTGCAGTGAGGGGTACAAGCTCTTCAACATGTGTGCTGGGACAAGGGAAACCCACATGCAAAAGAAGGAAGCTGGATCCCTATTTCATACCAGATCAAAAATGAATGAAAAATGGATCACAGACCTGAATGTAAGAGCCCAAACCATACAACTCTAAGAAAACAGAAGTGAATCTTTATGTCCATGGATTAGGTAATAGTTTCTTTTGATATAATACCAAGTGAGTATTAAAGATGGCGGCGTGAGAGGAGAGACAGAGGCTTCCTCCTAAAACTGGACACAATTAGAAAACATAGTTGGCGCAACTAATCCTGAGAGAGCAACAGGAAAGAGGACGGCGCCAGACTGCACACACCTGGAGAGAAGAGCAGACCTCAGCGAACGGGGTAACGTACCAGAGCTGTGGCTCCGCGGGACCCGAGTCCCTCCCCTACCCCAGCTCACCGGCGGGAGGAAGGGAAACGGAGCAGGGAGGGAGTGGAGGCCTGGGACTGCTGAATACCTAGCTCCAGAGATCTGCGCTGGGAGCACAAACCTACATTTCATGGTGCTTTCATGAGACTCGCATGACTACCGGGTTGGAAAGTTAATACAGGCAGAGTTCCTGGGGAGACTGGGAATCCGGCCGCTTGTGGAAAGCAGGGACCCATATCCTCCTGCTCTGGGACAAAAACTTATACCTGTGTGCCCGGCCCACTGGCTCAGGCAGTGGAGACAGGCACAGGAGACGGGAGGCGGGGAACAGCTCTTTCCTCCCCCCAGGCACCAGTACCGCTCCCCTG